GGCCAGCTTCGAGCCAACTTCGGCCGTCTTGGTGGGCTCCTGGTCCGTCTGACGCCGTCGGGAGCTGTCTTGGGGGCCTCTCTGAACCGACTCGGGGTCCTCTTGGGTCGCTTCGGGGCCGTCTTGGAGACCATCTTGGGCGTCTTAGAGGTCTCTTGGGCCGTCTTGGGGCCCTCGTGGGGCCGTCTTGGAGGCCTCTTGGGCCGTCATGGGGCGTGGGCGATCTTGGGGTGATCTTGGTGGCCTCTTGGGCCGTCTGGAGCCGTCGGAAAGCCGAAAAGGGGCGAACACCAAAATCTGTCAAAAACCTAAGGAACATCTATGATTTTGCTCTCTTCGGGCCTTCCTGGAGCACTTCTTGGAGGCCTCTTGGGCCGCCTTGGGCCATCTTGAGGCTATCTTACGCCATCTTGGGTACATCTTGGGCCGTCTAGGAGGCATCTTGAGGCCATCTTAGCCAGCCATCTTGGAGGCCACTTGGCCGTCCTGGAAGCATCTTGGAGGCCATCTTGGGCCATCTTGGAGCCATCTGGGGCAGGAAAACCCTCGGCAACCACCTCTGGAAGATCCTGGGCAATCCTTTCGGGTGGCCGGCGGGACGCGCCGAAGCCCCAGAGGGAGATCTTTTGGAAAAAGAACCAAAACCAAAACCGAAAGGATTCAGCACGCCAGGCACCCCTGCGATGAATCGACAGGGGGCGGCGGATCGAATGGCCTTCAGCACATCCCGCCACCGTGCTTGGGTTGCGGGTCTGAGGCCACTCGGATGGCTAATAGGGTCGCATGGGAGACGTCTTGGGGGAGTTTGGAGGCAGGTTTCCCAACCCTCCTGCGTTGGGTACTCGCTTTGATTAGCACGCTGTCCGCGCGTCTTCTTCTTCTCCCGCCCCCCTCCTCCTCCTCTCCTCTTCTCTCCTGCCTCTCACCTCGCTCCTTCCTGCGTGCCAGCTTGCCTCCTACCTGGCCATCCCTGGAAGGCTGCGATCTGCGAAACTGTCGCCACCTTCGAAGGCTGCTGGGGGGTCCAGCGAAGTGACGTCTTACCCAGACCACCAGGAGACCTGGCCATCCCTCTGGGGCTGCGATCCGCGAAACTGTCGCCACTTCCAAGGGCTGCTGGGGGGTGCAGCGGAGTGACGTCTTACCCAGACCACCCAGAGACCTGGCCATTCCTCCGGGGCTGCGATCCGCGAAGCTGTCGCCACTTTCGAGGGCTGCTGGGGGGTCAGCGGAGTGACGTCTTATTCAGACCAGCAGGGGACCTCGCCATCCCTGTGGGGCTGCGATCTGCGAAACTGTCGCCACCTTCGAAGGATGCTGGGGGGTCCAGCAGAGTGACGTCTTACCCAGACCACCAGAAGGCATTGCCATCCTTGTGGGGCCCGCTTGGGGGCCTCTTGGGCCGTCTTGTCCCCTCCAAATCGACCGGACCGGGCTCTCATGGGAGGGGCGGGCCGTCTTGGGGACATCTAGGGCTGTCTAAAGGCCCGCTTGGGGGCCTCTTTGGCCCTCTTGGGGCCTCTTGGGGGCCTCTTGGGGCCCTCTTGGACCGTCTTGGAGGTCTCTTGGGGTCCTCGTGGCCCGTTTTCGGGCCCTCAATCTCCCCCGGCAGAACTTCTGGCGCAAAGTACCCCCTCCGGCCGGCCCAGATAGACCCCCCCCTCCAAATCGACCCCACTGGGCTCCCGGGGGAGGGCTGGGCCGTCTTGGGGC